TCAGAAAAGCTCAGCTGCAACTTTCAGGGTGGTGTGTGTCACAGGCACCCTTGGGTCCCAGCATCTGGCTGCTCTCCTGACTCCTATGCATGGACTTTGGGGAGGTTCCTGGGTGTGGTCAGTGCCTCTCATTCTCTCTGGCCAGCTGGTGCCAACCCTGGTCAGGCCTGCTCACGGGCACCGCCTGCATGACTCAGTCTGGGGGATGCGAGGGGAAGTTGCAGGGAGGTGTGCAGTTGCTTTCCAACAATGCTGTGGTTGTGGTGTGGACCCGGACGCAGCTGTGGTGAGGAGCAGCTGGGGAGGGCCCATCCATATGAGTAGCCGGCAGGGACTCAGTGCCTGGACATCCAAGGGGGTGTGGTCTCTCTTGCCTTGACCACAAATGGGTGGAGAGGCCTGGCAGGAGCTGGGAAGTGGGCCCCCTAACCAAGGCTGGAGTAAGTAGGGAAAGCGGGAACCCCCCCCCCCCCACCCGCCAGGAGGTGCTGAGGAAGCCCTTGCCAATGCCAGCGGCCTCAGGGGACATCAGAAGGGAGCCATGGCTTGTGGGCCAGCGTTAGGGTGCACAGAGTCAGGCTCAGAGGCCTCCAGTTCAGAGAAGAGGTTTGGGCAGGGTAAGGAGTTGGGGCCCGGGCTCCCACTCTCTCCAGGGTTAAACGTTGGAAGTTCTGTTTTCAAGGATCTGGAAATGTCCTTACAAGCCCTCCACCCCTGGCTGAGAAGTCTATTAAAGGGCTCTCTTCCAAGTCATTTTTTTTGAGGATGAAGAAACTCTTCATCTAAAAGTGAGACAGGACATGGGACCAGCGCCACCACTCTCACCTTGGTTATCAGGTGCTTCCTTAACACAGGCCCAGCTAACTTCTCAAAACAGGTGGGATTCTAATGGAAGGAGAGGAGACAGAATGGGTGGGATTTTAGCCTGGGCCCTCCCTGCAGGGGGCTGCTGCCCTGGGTGGGAGGGCACAGCGTAGTGCACAGGGTGTGTGGGCATCTGAGGTGCGGGGGAGGGAGAAGGTCAAGGCTGTGGCTGGGATGGTAGGCCATGGAGGGGTCAGGTCTGGGCTGGTCCTGTCGTGCTGGCTTTCAGAGCCCACCCCGCCCTGCCAAGGGCCCAGCGCACCTCTGTCTCTATCAGCAGGCCCTTCCAAGGGTTTCAGGCCAGGCCTGGTTTGAGGTCCAGTATCCCCACTTCAGGCCTCTGTCTGTGGCATCCTCCAAGCCAGATAATGCCCCAGCCCTCCAGGCAGCAGTCCCAGCAGTGCCTCTGCTGGCTCCCTGCTCCCTGCTCCCCTTTTGAGGCAGTCCCCCTGCTGCCTGCCCACCTTCCCCCAGGTTGGACTTTGCCTACCACTCCCCATCCAGCTTTCTTCTACCTCCCGTTCCCTCCCCTCCCTCTCTTCTCTTCCCCTGCCCCCTCTTCTCTGCCAGGCAAGGACTAGCAAGACACTCAGTCCCCTCAGGACAGATGGGGAGACTGAGGCCCACTGAAGGACAGAGTCAGGGCCACAGCTGCGCCCCCTGCCAGGCGTTGCCTCTGCTCTCTCCGTCCTTCCTGCTGTCCAGTCACATCCACCAGAGTCGTTTACTTAGCAGACCCTGAGGACCAGCCCAAGGGAAGGCTGTGGGGCAGGGTAGGGGGTCTGTTTCACCTCAAGGTGTTTCTAACAGCAAATGTCTTGAGAAGCAGTGAGCTCCCCAGCACTGGGGCTGAGCAAGAAGAGGACAGGGAGGGATGCTGGGCAGGTGACTCCAGGCCCTTACAGCCCAAGTGGATTCCTGCACACCAGTGCCCAGTGTACCAGCAGAGACCCTCTTGGTCTGTGCAGCCCAGAAGGAGGTGCTGGGTCAGGAGCGAAGATGGCACCTATGTTTGTTTGTTTGTTTGTCTGTCTGTTTGAGATAGAGTCTCACTCTATCTCAGGCTAGAGTGCAGTGGCACAATCTTGGCTCACTGCAACCTCCACCTCCTGGGTTCAAGCGATTCTCCTGCCTCAGCCTCCCGAATAGCTGGGATTACAGGCGGGTGCCACCGTGCCCAGCTAACTTTTGTATTTTTAGCAGAGGTGGGGTTTTGCCATGTTGGCCAGGCTGGTCTCGAACTCCTGACCTTAAGTGATCTGCCCGCCTCAGCCTCCCACAGTGCTGGAATTACAGGCGTGAGTCACTGCACCTGGCTGAGATGGCACCTATGTAACCTTTGTCCAGCATCAAGGCCTGGGTGCCTCCTCCCACACCCATGTGTGTCCATGGCAGGGTGGGGGTGGGAGAGTCCTCAGTGAGGCCAGTTGAAGGGGAGAGGGGATGGTTAAGGAAGGCTTCGAGAAATCGGGGTTTCAGCTGGCCTTGAAGGGGCAAACGGAAGGGTGAGGGGACCAGTGGGCCTGAGTCCCTGCGTCATGTGACCTGGCCTCCTGTGGGCCTCACACACCTCTCCCTGGGCCTGGCTTGGTGGGGTGAGCCCACCAGGTGAGCTCTATCTGGGGAGGGGCCCGAGCCAGGTGACAGCAAGAACAAGGAAGAAGCAGGCTGTTCTGCCATGCAGTGACAGCCAGACAGACCTCAAGAGGCCGAGGCCAAGCTGGAAGGGCACTCCTCTCCCAGCCGCCCCCCTCAGCTCAGTGCTTGCCAGGCTCCTGCCATCTTGACAGTTTTTCTCTCCCCACTCCCAGGGAGACTCTGCCATTCTACATGGAGTCAAAATACCTGAGGAGACCCTGTCTCCTGAGGTGGGAGCAGTGCATCTCCTTTCCTGAGGGGCCATTACTGCTGGACAGTGCCATGAAGCTGCACTGATAGGGCACTGACAGGTCAGCCAGGAAGTGGTGAGGGCTGCCCTGGTCCCTGCGCGTCGTGGCTGTCTTCTCTCTTCTCTCTCTCTCTCTTCTCCTTTGGGTGAAAGCCTTCTCTGCTTTTTGGGGGGCAAATATCTGAAGCCCCTCCCCAGAGATCTAATCTCAGAGTCCTCCCAGCATGTGAGGACTGGCCCAGATGTCCTCACTCTGAGGACAGGCTTGGGGACATCCACTAGCCCCCCAGAACCTGAACTCCAGGCCAAAGGTTCACGAGCATGGTGGAGCACTGTGTTTGGGAGTCTCCTTGTATGCTCCCCACCTCCCCACACTTCATGATGTGTGGGCTTTTTGGAAAAGCCACCCTTACTCTCTCCTTCCATCCAATTCTGTGTTCAGGGCCATAGCTCCCCCTTGACATCTGCTGAAGGTACAGATCTCCCCAGAAAACTGCGCACACCCGGCATTTGGCCCTGGCCTAGGGCTTAGAGACGTGAGCTCCAGCACTGTGTCTGCCTTGAACTTGCCTGTGGTCTCAGACAGCCTTCAGTTTTCTGACCTGAGAAATGGGGGCTTTTGTCTCTACCTCATAGGGGCCTCCTGACAGCCTGGAATTGGTTGACCTTGTCTGCCCCGTCCCCAGCTCACTCCTGGGAGTACCTAGGAAGGAGAGGGGGTGGGGCTGCAATAAGGATGGCATCTTGGGAGGCACACACCGGCAGGGGATGCAGCAGAATGGCGGCCCTGGATGACAGGCATGTGCCCGTACTCCTCTCAGCCCTCCTGGTCCAGCTCCCGAGGGAGAGTGGCAGAGCTGCAGCAACTACCCTGTCAGCAGAGTTAAATCCCAGCCAGACTTGCAGAGGGAAGGCGAGAGAGGGCTACAGCCACACCCACTCCACCCTACTGCCTGGGCTGGTGAGTGGCCCAAGGGCTCCAGGGTACTGGGGCAGGACCCTCCTGGATGCACAGCATGGCTCCAAGAAGCCCTCCCTCTCTACTGCATCAGAAAACCTCCTTGCTACCAGGGGCCCTGAGGCAAGGATCACATCAGAGCCAAAAGCAGGGGACACCTCCTTGGAGGACCTCTGCTAATGGGCGGGGACCCACCAAGATCTGGAGGGGTGGGTGCCAACACCCTGTAGCTCCCCCGGTGCCTCCCTGGCAGCAGTAGCTCATCAACTCTCCATGTCAGTGTGGGAGCCAAGCAGGAGGGCATTCCCATCTTACTCGTGAGGAAACTGAGGTGAAGTCTCACTTGCCCACAGTCACACAGCAGTGAGCAGGATTGGCCCTGGAATCCAGAGCCCTGGTACTTGGACAAAGTCTCTTTCCCTTTCTCACTGGTGTTGCCCCCACAGGGAAGCAGGTGGGCCTGGAGGCATCCCGAGGGCTCACTGGTCAGGGGAGGAGGAGAGGCACCACCCTCTCGCTTCTTCCTGGTCTATCCCAGTGTCCAGGACCTCTGGGATGCCACAGCCAAGGCAGGGGACGGGGGCTGCAGGGCCATGGGGCCTCCCTCCATCTCCCACTCACACCATCAGCCTATAGCTCCACCCTATGATCTCTGCTCAAGGCGGTCTCTCTGCCAAGAATCCTCTTCTCCCCTCCCTGCCTGGAAGGAGGCCCTCTCCTATGTGAAGGCTCCCTGGTGCCCCTAGGTTCTGCCTCACTGGGCACTGCGTGCTCCCTGTTCCCTGTGGTTGTGCGCTCCCTGAGGGCAGGAGCTACGATGCTCCTGCGTGTGCCCTAGCACAGTGCCTGGCCTTCAGGAGACTGAATTCCGGAACCTGCAATTGTGAGGGAGTGAATGACTGGTAGAGAGTGAATGGTGTGAGAGTGAGAGGGCTGAGAGTAGGGGACGGTGGGAGTGTGAGGCTGAAGGCTGAGAAGGGGCAGCAGTGGGTACACGAGCCCAGATAGGAGCAGGGGCTAAGCAGGGAGAGCAGGCTGGCACTGCCCACCCCACTGCAGGGCCCTCCCCTAGTCGGATGTGGTCCCATTCCCATACAACAGGCTTGGCCAAGGGCTCAACCCCACAGGCTTCCACGATGGGCTCAGCGCCCTCATGGTCGCTGTGGTCCTGACCGGGTGGTGGCTGCCCTTTCCACATTTGGCGAGGGGAAGGATGACGCCCAAGGACATCCCCCAGGCCCAAACTAGCCGTGGCTGGCCAGCCAGCAGGCCGCATGCAGAGCCGCAGAATAGAAAAACCTTGTTTTATTCAGCCCAGACCTGGGCAATCTAGCTCTGTGGTATGGCCAAAGTATAAAAAATAAAAACCAACAACAACAAAACAACGCTGTAGAGAAAAGTGAAGTATAAATTGGGGTCTGGCATCCGGAATCCCTGTGGTTTCCATCCACGTTCGCTCCCTGAGGCCGGCAGGGAGGGATGCCCCTGCCGGTGGGTTGGGGGACTGGGCCCCTCGGCGGGAGGCTGCCAGGGGAGCAGGGCCTGTTTTAGAAGGGGAGAGATTGGCCATCTGTCTCTCCCAGAGATCAGGATCTGAGGAAGGAAAGACAGTGGGTCAATGAGGGGCTGCAAAGTAGGGCCCCCGTGGCCCCCTTAGCCAGGGCTTCCCTCCCGCAGCCCCGATCCCTCGTGGCAGGGCAGGCATGGGCCTCCATTTCCCTCAAGAGAAAGTGCCGACCCCCTCAGCCCAGCTCCAGAAGGAGGGGTTCGATGGACTCCCACCCACCCAGGGCACAGTCTCAGCACATTCCCCTCCCCATGCCCTAGTCCCAGATTGTTTTCTAGGCCATTAGCAGAGCTGCTACTGTCTGGAAATACTTTCTTGTTTTTTCTAACTCAGAACCTTTTTTTAAAGCCTCCTTTTTCCTCCAGAAATACGATGGAAACCCACAGGCGTCAGTCCCGTGGCCTTTCTGGGAACGCTCTGTCCAGCTTCCTGTGCACGCTGGCCCAGCCGCCTGCCTGTGGTCAGGGTCACAGAGACTGAGACACTCTAATAAGACCCAGTCTTTCCAAGCACTTATGTAAAGAGCTCTTGGAAGGAAGGGCTTTGGCACCCCCTGCTGCCCACAGGCCCCCCGGGAGCTGGGAGGGCAGCGCAGGCTGCTTCTCCATCTGTCTTGCCGAGAGCCCCGCTGGCTGCTCCAGGCACCTGGGACGTGGGACGCTGTTTCTGTTCCCATCCCCCTTTCCCAGCAGCAGGCGGGACTCCCTGCCTCCCTGAGCCCCCAGCAGCCTCCTTTGTTTCCTGGATACCCCATTCTTCCTTCCTCCTCCTTCCCTAGAATGGCTTCTACCACTTAGGTGACCCCTGGGTCTTGAATAGCTAAGACAGGCCCTGAGGAGCGGGAATGTGCTGGGAACCCAGGCCTACTAAAGAGCCAAACTGCCAGTGATGGGATAGTAGTTCGTCCTTTCAGACACGCTGTGTGCCCTGGGGAATTCTGATCTCATTCTACTCCTGAGGAACCTAATCTCTGCACTGAACTAGAGGCTGCTGTTCCCATTTTTAATATTCATGATGTGGTGGCAGCATGCTGTGAACAGTTAGGTTGGTGGTAGCAGCCAAATGTGAGAGGGCTGTCTCTAAATGAGCCTGGCCCTGGTCACAGACTGAGCCTTGACCCTGGCCACACACTGAGCCCTGATCCTGGTCACACACTGAGCCCTGGCCCTGGTCACAGATTGAGCCCTGAGTCTGGCTACACACTGGGCCCTGACTCTGGCCACACACTGAGCCCTGATCCTGGTCACACACTGAGCCCTAATCCTGGTTACACACTGAGCCCTGGCCCTGGTCACAGATTGAGCCCTGAGTCTGGCTACACACTGGGCCCTGACTCTGGCCACACACTGAGCCCTGACCCTGGTCACACACTGAGCCCTGATCCTGGTCACACACTGAGCCCTAACCCTTGTCACAGACTGAGCCCTGACCCTGGCCATACACCACACCCTGACCACAGTCATAGGCTTAATCTCTCATACCTGCCATCCATTAATAAGCATACACTTTTAGGGAAAGATACCTCTCTGGGCCTTGAGATCTCTACTACCTTTCTCCCAGTTGATGAAGTAAAGCCGAAAGCTCTAGGACTTTTTTTTTTTTTTTTTTTTTTTAATGGAAAAGGATTCCTTTGATCTGGAGTGTGGTAGGGTTTCCTTGTCAGCTTGTAAGGAAGGGGGTCCCTCTGCAAAGTACTTCACGTGGGGATCAGGAGAAAGACTGAGGACCCTACCCAGCAGCCATGTGCTAAAATCCCAAGCCCAGGTTTTAGGGACTTCTTCTACAACAGGGGCCTAGGGACTGAAGATGGCCCCTTTTAACCAGAATCACTTCTAATCTGTGACTGTTTAATCCAGTCCACTTGATAAGGACACTAATGATCACAGCTGCTGTTCACTGTGTGCCACTGTGTGCTGGGCTGTTGAACATGCAGACATCAGGCCTATAGATCCTCAGCCCCAGCCTATGTGGAAATACCTATTTTATAGTTGATGAAAGTAGCTCAGGGAAGTACAGTAGTTACCCAATGTCACAGAGCGAGGAAGCTGTGGAACTGGGACTGCAGAGCTCGTGGCCTTGCACCAAATGACTCTGCCTTCTGCTGGTTTTCACTTGGGACATCTCAGGGAGCCACAGGATGCAGCCCCAGATCAACACCCTACAGCCTGAGCCCCACCGTAAACACTCAGCTTGGGGTTGGCACGGACAAGGCTCTTTTTGCTGGGCCCGGCTGCAGCTGCATTCGGCCATCAAGATGACCTAAAGTGCAGGTATCTTAGGTATTTCAGGTGGCCTTGCCTGCTCCCCAGGCAGGAAAGGGACAGGGCTAGGAAGGATGGGGGGCAAGCACTTACTGGACAATTTTGCAGTTTGTTGTAGAAACGTAGCGACCTGTGTAGTGAATGTTGCATCTCACCACGTTGTTGGTGAAGTCAGACTCTAAAACAATATACTTTGGGTTCACGTGCACCTGAGGAAGAAGAGAAACAGGGAGAAAGGGAGTCTAGTCAGGGGGCTGCACCTCAACCGCTCACCAGAGAAGGTGGTAAGGAGGCAGACAGACAGACAGAGAGGGGACATAGACAGGAGACAGAGAAAGACCATGTGAGGCCAAGAGACATGGAGACAGAGACACACTGCTAGAGAGACACAGAGGGGAAAGAAGAGGCAGCTGGTAACCCAAGCAAACATCATCTGATCCCCCTTATCAGAAGATTGGATGTTTCCCTAGAGCGAGAGACTGTGCCAGGTGGGCCCTGCATGGGGCATCTGGGGTTGGAGAGGTTGGATCCTGCCCCTGGGAATGCAGTAATGAGGAGCTGAGCAGGGACTCAACACCTGGCCTCCCCAACACCAAGGCTCAAAGTTGTTCCCTATGGCCGGGCGCGGTGGCTCAAGCCTGTAATCCCAGCACTTTGGGAGGCCGAGACGGGCGGATCACGAGGTCAAGAGATCGAGACCATCCTGGCGAACATGGTGAAACCCCGTCTCTACTAAATAGTACAAAAAACTAGCCGGGCGAGGTGGCGGGCGCCTGTAGTCCCAGCTACTCGGGAGGCTGAGGCAGGAGAATGGCGTAAACCCGGGAGGCGGAGCTTGCAGTGAGCTGAGATCCGGCCACTGCACTCTAGCCTGGGCGACAGAGCGAGACTCCGTCTCAAAAAAAAAAAAAAAAAAAAAGTTGTTCCCTATGCATTCCTGTCTATGCTTTTTGTCTGAAAAGGAGCTGTTGGGATACAACACTTTTAAATGTTGGATTAACTAGGGAAGGGCCAGCTTTATTCACAGAACATCTAAGAACAGATGCAGGGATGTGACTTTCAAATCCTAGTATGCTCCCAAAGCGCAGGGACTGTGAACTGTATTGCTTATGTGGTGTGTGTGTCCAGTGCCTAGAACTCAGAGGGGACTTCCTATGTGTTTGACTGAGTGGATGAATGAGGAAAAGAAAAAATATACTGGACAACCCCAGGCCCTGCAGGAGCAAGCTTGGAGCCTGCTGAGGGGCACTCAGGAGGGAACCGCAGAGAACCACTGCTGGACGCATCTCTCCACCAGCTGACTTTCTGCAGGGAAGGCCTCCGCCTGCAAACCTGGCTTCACTGCTCTTCCCTTACCGAGCTGCTTTTCTGCTTCTGAGTGGGTCCAGATGAACTGGTGGAATAATCCCTACTCATTTTATACATGTGTGGAGGAGGCTGAGACATGGCTTCCCCAGGTGGGCCCATGACAACCTGGCCTACACGTATGTACCAAGTCTGGCTGTGTGTTGTTAATATGCTTTTCTACTTTTCTCCCAACCAAGGGAAGAGGCGATGGGGTGAGTGTCCATTAGAGCAGGAGGGGTTCAGGCTAAAAGGGTCTTGGTCACAGGAGCCCTTGGCCTTGCAGGGGTCCCTGTAAGGAGCCAACGGCCTCTCATCTGTCTCCCAAATGATACAAAGTCTGCCCTGTCCGAAGACAGGAAGATAGACCACATGGTTCTCCAAGTCTTCCTTGCTCTCTCTGGTCCTCAGTCACTTAGGGAGACAGTATCACCACTGCCTCTAGCATTACCACAGCTGGGGCAAAGGTTCCTTGGGTTCTTTATGGAGAGAGAGGCTATGCCAGCCTGAGACCTAAATCTTCGGCTGGGAAGCCTGAACCTTGAGGGATGCCTCGGATGCTGCCTCTGCTCAGCAGCTGGGGAGAAGGGAAGAGGCCCAGAGGCTGAAGCTTCTTTCAGGAATGATGAACATCCGGTTGGAGAGAAAGCCCCAGACTCAGAGGCCCACCTTGAGGATGTAGTTCCCAGGCTGCACATCGGTTATGTCAATCCACTGGCAGTCGATATCTGCGTTGTAGGTGTCATAGCAGCCTGGGCTCAGGCCCTGGGAAAGGGACAAGAGGAGCGGCTGATGCTGCTGGTTCCCCAGAGCCACCCCATGCCCACTTTCAGGAGTTTCAGGCCCATCTTCCCCTGGGTTTCTCCCCTGACCCTGGCCCAGGGCAACTGCTCAGGGTGGGTCCACCCCTTCCTAAAGTCACTGGCTAGACGGACCAGAGGAAAGACAGAGATCTCTAATAGCCAGGTGGGAGGGATGAGATGGATGTGCTGGTATGCGTGGGCAAGATGGATGGCAGAATGGGCAAAGAGAGACGGGACAGACAGACAGTTTGTGGATGTTTAGGTTGGCTGATGGAAAGAGGGATATGGGTGGATGAACAGGCTAATGGGACGTGTTGCTCTCCAGACTGTTGCAATGTTTCCTTCTCTCCATGAGCAGATTGCCTGGGAATAACATGGGAAGGGGCTTGGGCAGGGAGAGAACAGTCCCTGCAGGGCACTGTGGCAGCCTGAGGACTGGTGAGAAGACCTTCACTGTGAGCAGAGCTGAGTGGCCAGAAGCCTTGGCACTAGCCAGGCCTCAGCCGGCCTCAGCAGGCCTTGCTCTGTCTCCCCACTCCTCATCCGCCTGTGCCCTGAACCCCATCTCTCCAGCCCAACCTGGGTATGAGAGGTGCATGCATAGCGCTTGAGGTTGCCGAAGTCACAGGTGCTGTCCTCCAGGCAGAAACTGGCCTTGTGGCCCTCAGCCACCTTCTTGCCTGTGGCTGCATCCAGTAGGTCGTAGTGGCTGAACTCGTCCATGCTGTGGTAATGTCTAGAGGCAGAGGAGAGGAGAGAGAAAGAGAGAGAAGAGGGCCTAGTGTTCCCTGGGCCTCTCATCCTGTCCTCATCCTGAGATGGGCTCAGGTGACCCCACTGTGGCACAGCCTTCTGGCCAATCTAGGCTCTCCTGTCCCCTGAGTCCTGCGGGGTGGCCCCTCTGTGCTCCCCACCTAGGTGGGTCGCTCCAGGACAGCACATGCTCTGGACCCCTCACTTCCTTTTTGGGCTCCCACCTGTAATGACCTCACTGGGCAATGCCCCGTATTCTAGACATTTCCATCCCTTATTGAGACCAATCCTTCCATCTTCCAGCCTACCTTTGGCTAAGACTTCTCTGAGAAACACTTGCCTCAGTGGCAAGAGTTGGCAGATGACACCTCCCGGGGCCCTCTAATCCAGTATCTGTGTCTCTCAGAGTGCTCGTGGCGGGAGGGGGAGCTCAGGCACCAAGGTCCCTGGTCCAGAGGAGAAGTGGAAGAGGACAGGCCCAGCCCCTCCCCACTCACTGGTGGCAGCTGTGCCACTCCCAGGTGTGCCGTGGCCGGTTGGGGAGGAAATCCGCTGTGCCCTGGTTCTTCACACGCTGGGGGAAGCGCAGCAGCACCCGCACATCGTAGTCGGTGGCCTCAGGGGCATAGGCTGTGCTGCAGGGACGACAGGGGAGATAAGGGGGGGGGTTGGGGCATAGTGACACCAGAACCCAGCATGGGCCCCCTCAGTCCCACCCCCAGCCCTTGGCCACTGGTTCTGCAGCCCCACCACTTGTCCCTGAAGATCTTCTCCTCTGACTCCCCGAACTGTGGCAGAGGCTCAGGCCTCTTCCTCTGTCTTCTGACCCCGTGAAATCCTGGCTGTCCCCTCCTTTCTGGCCTCCACCATGTGGCCGGCAGCTGCCAACAGCATCTTTCTAAAGCGGTACCAGGCACGGTAGTGTCCCTGATACCTGCAGGTGACTCAGCTGGGGTCAGCCCCTGGGTGCAGGAGCATATAAGAAATCTCTGAAGGGCCTTTGAAAAACAGCCCTGTTGCGGGAGCCAGGCACTTTGGCTCATGCCTGTAATTACAGAGCTTTGGGAGGTTGAGGCAGGAGGATCACTTGAGGCCAATAGTTTGAGACCAGCCTGGGCAACACAGTGAGAAATTAAAATTTAAAAAATTAATTTAATTAAATAAATTTTTTAAAAATTAAAAAATTAGCCGGATAAGGTGGCTTATGCCTGTAGCCCCAGCTACTTGGAGACTGATACCTTGAGCCCAGGAGTTTGAGGCTGTAATGAGCTATAATTGCGCTGCTGCACTCTAGTCTGGGCAACAGGGTGAGACCCCCTTTCTAAAAAAAAAAAAGAAAAAAAAAGTCCTCTCCAGGAGATTCTGATAAGTCTTCTCTCCTCCAGACAGAGCCCTAATTGTTGACAAAAGTATGCCATGTCTTGGGTGTGGGCCTGAAAAACAGACTTGAGGTCCTCTGGTCAAAGCCTCTTCACTTTTCTAGTCCCATCTGCCCTTCCACTCCCCTACATACCCTGGGTTCCTGCTTCAAAGCCTATTTTCCAAACAGGCTGAACTTTTTCCCTGACCCATACTTTTTTCCCCATGCTATTTGCTTGACTCAGAATTCCAAAACTCACCCAGCCTCCTAGGGTCAACTCAAAAGTCCCCTCCTCCAGGAAGTCTGCCTGGATTGCTCTGCTTAGAGGATCCGATTGCCTGTGAGCTCTAACAGCACTGACTGCGGCACAGCCCAATACCACCTACATCTTGCACTGGGTTGGGTATGACCAGGCCACCTCTCCCTGACTGCATGGTTTCAGGCTGGCAACCTGTCCTTTTCTATTCAGGGATCGTGGGTCTGGTATGAATTGCCTGCTCACAATTCACCTGCTGACTCCAGATTTCCAACTGAGGTAGGCCTTGTGACAAAAGGAAAAGGGTGGAAAGAGGAACGAGAGGCTGCAGTGAGGCGAGACACACACATATGCACACATACACACACGCGCACACACGTGTGTGGTAGGAACAGGAAGGGGGGCTGAAGGCCCCTCCCCTCTTCAGCTGATGGCTGACAGCTAACCCTGTTGGCCTCAGGGGCTCTTCCCTGGCACTCATTAAGGTCCAGTCCTAAGGCCAGAGGGGAGTGGTGGCCAGTCGTAGGGATTAGCGCTCTCTTTGAGAGAATGTCTGGACAACAGGCGGCTCAGACTGTCTGCCAGGATGAAAGGCCCTCAGCCTTGTCTGGGGGAGGCTTGGAATCTGTCTGTGTCTGGGTTGAAACAAAACATCCTCCTTCCCTCTGTTCAGTTAAATCCTGCCCTTCTGTTCGGCTCAGCACACCGTGGGAAACCATGAGGGTCTAGGTTCTAGGCCCAGCTTGGCCACAAATTGGCGGTGAGACTTGGAACCGGTCCTTTTCTTTCTCTGGGTTCTGCCTGCAGCGTGTGAACTGGCACCAGCCCGTGGCCCATACTTCCAATGATCTCAGAGGCCCTCCTGCCCCAGGGCTCCAGTTCTGCAGGGTTCTCCAGCTCTGAACTCTTGCGCCCACCTCCTCTGAGGCCTCAGCCCTTGCTGACCCCTCCCTCCTCTGACCTCCAGCAGCCCTGGCCTGTGAACCAATCCTTCTGGCTCTTGTCCCACTCGTGTCTTGGTTCTGTCACTGGGGTACAGGTGAGGGCTGTTCTCTCCAGCTGTACCAGGAGACCCTCCAGGACAGAGAACAAGCTGCCTCCTCTCCCCAGCTGGGAGCGCAGGTCCGGGCACTCAGGATCCTTCATGAAGAGGCTGTGATATTAACAGTTTGGCTTTGACTAATTCTCTTAAGACTGGAAGGGCTGTCATAGAGGCTGTAAGTTCCTCATTGCTGGAGGAATTCCAGCAGGACCATTACGCTCTCTTCCCCAGGACAACTGAAACAAGACAAGAACTGCCCAGACAGGCTGGCTGAGTGGTACTCAGCCTGTGGTCCCTGGACCAGGGGCAGTTTCCACACTGATGCCCGTCTGGGATGGGATCGGGAACTTGCACCAGAATGTATATCGACAACATTCCTAATCACTGTGCTTAGTTCAGCAGACACTTTTTCTTTTTTTAAACAAGACTTTCTCAATGAAGGAGTGAGTTGAGTTACATTCTGGTGCAAGCTCTTTTATCTTGTTACAGATAGATAAGGGTTTATGATCAGCTACTTATAGTGGCAGTGAACTAGAAGTTCTAGAAGTGAGAAAATGTTGAGATTCTGAAGGGTTTCCTAGATAGTAGAAAGTCAAACTAAACACAGAGTTCAAATGTCCAAAAAGCAGGTAATTAAGAAAAATAGGTGCTTTCAACATAGAGGGATATTAACAAAAGCAGCAGATAACATAATCTTAACTAATTATTTTAGCCCAGGGAGGTATCCCCAAAGAACCTATATTCCAGCAGAATATGAACTGCTAATAAATTAGAAGCAAACACTGTGAGAGGCAGGATCACCCATGAACAATGGCGAGCCCGCTGTGCTCACCTTCTGGGTTCATGGAAACTGGTCTCCTTCCCCTCTTCCCAGTGCAACATATAACTGAAGCTTCTTTGTCTCCGGGGCTCACTGCCCCTGCTGTGACCAGGCAGAGGCAGCCTGGGCCAGCCAAAGCCACAACTGTCCTCTGTGGACATGGCTCCATAGTCCTGGGCTCTATGCTGCGGGTACATCCACCCAGTAGGTCTTCCATAGGTCCCTGTATGAGCACTGGAAGCCTGGGTTCCCAAGAGGAACCTTCTCATTAAGCAGCTCAGATCCAAAAGGTTTGAGTTCCTTTCATTGCTCCTCAGTTTCCTGAGGGGGCAACCCATGCCTTCAGGGCTCGTATGAAGATGAAGTGCCACAGTGAAAGTGAAGTTCCTTGTATAGTAAGGTCCAGTATACAGAAATGCTGGGTCCCCGCTTGCTCCCCTCCCCTCCTGACTCCCTCAGGGCAGGCAAGGCTCACTGATGAAAAGGTCAGGGTCCTGGGAGGCCGGGGCATTTGGCCAGGGTCATCAGCTTGCAGACAGCCTAGCTGGCAGCCGCAGCTAGGCTGGGTTCTGGGTGACTCCCAGGGACTATCCCAACACGCTACACTTCTGCCTCAGCTGCTTACCTGGCCAGACACTTCTCCTCCGCAGCACAGCGCAGGGAGTACAGGTGGGCTCTCTGCACATAAGTGGATGCTTGCACATAGTTGGGGTCTGGGACCAAGTCAGGGAGACCTGGAGTGGGCAGTGGGAGAGAGGGGGGAGGGAGGAAGAGCATGACATTGAGAGCGTCAGGTTGGCCACTGTTAATGCCCAGACACCTCCTCATACCCCAAACATCCTCTCATACCCCAAAACCCTTTGCCATTCTCCTTGGGTGTTGGGTCCTGGGCTCACGTGTGGGGTCAGGGAAGTCAGGCAGCAAGAGCTTGCATCTCGAGCTCTGTGGTGTGGGAGCTGCTAAGACTTCCTGGAAAAGCTTGGACATGAACAAGATCTGGGAGATGGGGCAGGATTTAGAGAACCAGAGAGCAGGAAAGGGTGTCCTCGGCAGGGGGAACAGCATGAATGAAGACCTGGAGGCAGGAATGAGTGAACCATGTAACTTCCTGACAGAGGCCCTCCCTCGAGTCCTTACTCCCCAGGCCTCTGGACAGCAGCCCCCAGACACCCTCCGTTCCTCTCATCCCTGCAGTCAGCATTCTTTGTGAACCACCAAGAGAGTCCTGGGCTTCTGGCCTGGAGTGTGTCCCTGAAGGTTCATGGGCAGAGCCAGGTGGATGCAGGCTGGCAGGAGTCGGGGTGGGCAGGAAGGGATGGGCTAGAAGGAAAACATTTCCCCAGAGCAGGCTGCTGACAGGGCAGGATTCGCAGCCTGGGCACCCAGCCCGACCTTCTCAGAATTCCTTTCTGCCTGGCACAGCCACTCCTCCCCGTACCCCCGCCTCCAATCACCTGCCACCACTTCCTGCCATCAGCCCCCTAGACCTGCCCATACCCTCCTCTGTCTGCAACCTCTGGCCACCAATCTGAGGGAGACCCTGGCTCCCTACCCTGCAAGGCCTGGGGTCAAGCACCCAGGGGAAGTCTGGAAGCTGCCCCCGTCCTTGTGGTCCCTTGTTCCCCAGGATGTGCCAGAGCCTGTGGCCTGTCCATCCTGTTCCTGCCCCTCCACCTTCCTCCCTGGGCATGCATTAGTCTGAGCAGGAGTTACTAGGAATAAGCAGAAACCACACTTAGGTGTCCAGACTCCATCCCGCATTGGAATGAAGAAGGAATACCTTAATGTTGGAGTGACGGGATGTGGGCTGGGGTGGGTGCGGGCAGGGGTGGGTGTGGGCAGGGGGGACTCCAGGGCCCTGGGCTCTATCCCAGCCCAGCCACTGACTTAAAGGGGAGTGGTCCTGGGGCCTCTAATTCCCTCTCCTCTCTGGCCTCAGGGATTTTGTCAGGTAAGTGATAAGATGAGGCTATAAGCTCCTCTTACTTTCTTTGAAGTACTCTGCTCTTGAGGGATTCGGGAAGGGTGACAGCAGGCAAGGTGGGAAGACTTAAGTCCCATGGAGGGGTTTCCCACCCCTTTCCTGCTGCCAAGACCCTCTCATCAGCTTTTAGGTCTGGAAGATGAGGCCAAAGAGGGGAAGGCTGGCTTCTAAGCCATTGGCAGAAGTGTCTGCCTGCATGTTCCCCTTCCCACACCACCCTGAGTTCCCAGACCCTAGCGTTGCTCTCCCTGGGACCTGGGCCTCATGGGGGAGCCTGGTCCATGCAGCCAGGGTGATCTCACCTATTTGGAATGAAGAGGAAGCTTGGAGTGCAAGGGTGGGTGAGGATGAGGTGGCTCCTGGCTGGTGGGGGACTTCTTGGCCAGCCTAGGCCCTGTTACTTGAGCCCCTAGGAATGTTTGCAGTCATTTCCCAAGGGACCCATAGGCCCTCAAGCCAGCTGGGAGCTGGTTCTCACTCTCTGGACCCTGGAAGCCTCTGGGGGAGGGGTGAGGACTGGGGATGGGCCCCGTCCTCATCAGCCAGTGCCTTTCCCTCAGCTGTGTATAGGGTGGGGTAGCTGGGCCTTTAAGACTCAGGAGACCCAGCATTTGACATCAGACAGCTTGCTGCCCCCACCCCAGGCCCAGTTTCAAGAAATACTGCACAGATGGCTCCACAAAGCTTTTCTGGCCTGATCCTTCCTCTCTAGGCTATTTCATGAGCTAGCTACGCAACCCCGGGAAGTTGGAGGAGTGGGGAGGAAGAGGCCAGGTGGGGCCAGTGAGGGCCAGTGCTGTTCCTGGCCTCTCCCAGCCCTGACTATGTACACACACTGAGCCCTGTGCCTGATCACAGTCTGCGCCCTGACTTTGGTCACAGACTGACCTCTGATCCTGGTCACATTAAGCCCTGACCTTGGTCACACACTGAACCCTGGCCCTGGGCACACCCTAAGCCTTGATCACACACCAAGCCCTGTTCCTGATCACAGTCTGAGCCCCGATGCTGGTCACACACTGAACCCTGATCCTGGTCACAGACTGGGCCCTGATCCTGGTCACAGACCAAGGTCTGATGCCTATCAGCAATTCTGAATCTCAGGCTCATTTCTGTTTTTCCCCTGATGATGGGCGAAAGCTCTTCAGCTAAAGGAAAAAAAAAAAAAAAAACCTTAAAAAAGGAATTGCTGTGATATCATCAAGCCTTTTGATTAAAACTGAGTGGGGTAGGGTTATAAGTGTCAGAGGTATGGAGGAGGGGCATTTGTAGAATACTGCATGTGGAGATTTGGAAGAGAGGCTGAGGACAAACAGCTTGGGACTGCTGGTCACAATCTGAGCCTTGACCCTCCCACAGATTATCATCTTCTTCCTCTTATTGTTGAGGAATCTCATGCTCAGGCAAGGGCCTCTTCCTGTGGGAAGTCTCCCCTGGTTGTAATGATATCTTAGGCTGCACACACTTCTCCTCTCTCACTACCCCATTTGTATTGATCTACACTTAGATTTCACCATACTAACCTGTGTGTGTCTCCTCCCTTCCAGACGGGGTTCTATGGGCAGGGCCTGAGTCCTACTTGCCCTCAGTGGAGCAACTTTTGTTTTAGGGGTGACTGACTGGCCCAAGGCCCCTCAGGCTCTGTCAGGAGAGCCTCTTTAATGACTGTTCCAGGCAATCCGAAGTGTGTTCCATGTCCTGCCCCCAAGACACCAAGGCACACAATGTCTTTGGAAGCACTGGAGGAAACTGAGGCTCAGGCCCATAAATCTGCGCAGGGTCACACAGGGAGCTGGGGTACCCCAGGAGGGGATCCTAGGTCTCCTTGCCCTCCCAGGACTCCTCCTGTCACTCTTTATAAAAATAAACTTTTTTGAGCTATAATTTATACACAGTGAAATGCACAGATTTTAGGTGTACAGTTTGATAAGTTCTAACAAATGTAGAAAGCCGTGTAGCTTCCACCACAATCAAGCTGTGGATTGTTTCCATTACCCTCTGGTACCTTCCCTGTAAGTCCCCGCCCCGCCTCCACCACCCCAGGCAGCCACTGCACTGCTTCTAATCACTGTAGATTAGTTATGCCTTTTCTAGAACTTAAATGGAATCACTCTCACCATTATTTTGTAATTTTCTTTGTTCTACATCTCTAACCATCACCGGGGCCTCCTGTACTCCCTCAATGGCCTCCTCTCTGTGCTCTACTCTGTCACACCCTCATGACCGTGGGGGTGACACAAGAGGCAGCAGCTTGGGGAAGCTGCTGGAAAGGAGTAGCCTCAGGAGTTCAGGCCAGGCCCCCCCACCTCACCCTCAGGATCCTTGCCGAGGTCCCAGAGAACAGCAGACCCCTCCCACGGCTGGTATGTTTTTCCAGGAAGGAACAATGCCTCCTTCTCTGGACAGCTCTCCCAGGGGACATTTCGTCAGCAGTCAGGCCTGTAGGCTTGGGCTCTTGGCCCCTCTGCAGGGCTTGGGGCTGGGGGCTTATGTGAGGTTGGAAGGGGATAAAGAGGGGTTGATTGAGTTGGGGGCTGGTGGACACGCTCAGTGTAGGAGCAGGGAGGCTGGTCTGCAATTTCTGGCTTGTAAGGTACAATAGGCCCTCCAAGCAGAGTGGCCAATGTTGGGTGAAGTCCAGTTACTATCAGACTGTGTGATCAGCCCTCACCTCAAAAAGTACGCATTTTAAAGGAAGATCCTGGACTTGGTGAAGGTACACATCCAGCTCCCCATGCCACCTCCACCTTTTCTTTTTTCTTTGAGACAGGGTCTTGCTCTGTTGTCCAGGCTGGAATGCAGTGGCATGAACTTGGCTAACTGCAGCCTCGATCTTCTGGACTCAAGTGATCCTCCTGCCTCAGCCTCCCAAAGTCCTGGGATTGCAGGCGTGAACCACTGCACCCAGCCAAATGAGGTCTTTTTGCTTACTCCAAATACAGGGGAAACCATCAGCCCAGGCTGGAGTGCAGTGGCACGATCTCGGCTCACTGCAACATCCGCTTCCTGGGTTCAAGCGATCCTTCCATCTCAGCTTCCCAAGTAGCTAGGACCATGCGCATGCCACCATGCCTGGCTAATTTTTGTATTTTCAAGCAATTCTCCTGCCTCAGCCTCCGGAGTAGCTGGCATTACAGGTGTGTGCCACCACGCCTGGCTAAATTTTGTATTTTTAGTAGAGATGAGGTTTCCCCATGTTGGACAGGCTGGTCTCGAACTCCTGACCTCAAGTGTTCCACCGGCCTCGGCCTCCCAAAGTGCTGGGATTACAGGTGTGAGTGACCGTACCCGGCCAGCCTCCTGTTTTAGACCCCCAGGTTGCCTCTGACTCGCTCCACAAACATGCTACAGTGAATGGCTGTACATTCCCCTCCTGGGCCTAAAGATACACATCCAGCTCCCTGGGTCACCTACAGCCCTGCTCAGTCTTCTCCCAAGCCCCCAGCACCACTGGTGGGGGGTAGGCTGGGGTGGGCCTCACCATCCAAAGACTGGGTGGATGGGCTTGCTCAGACTGCCCAAGGAAACCCTGGCCGCCATCCATTTCTTCCTCCCAGGAGGGAGACAGGAGCCTGGGGTCTTACCCTACTGTGTTATAGGCCTGTGTGGCCTTGGGTTGACCCAGCCCCACTTCAGAATTCATGGTCTCCATTCTTCCACTTCTAATTGTCCTCCACCTGACTCGGGGCCTAAGGCCCTGTGCTGGCCTCTGTGGGCATTCTTCCTCAGATGCAGGCTGCACAGAACCTG